GTGTATTTAGTTGTTAGTCGGAGGGGTAGCGTGCAGTACAATATGTTGTGATCACTGTTATCGAGTTTATTTCCCGCCTCTATCGAGATGGGCTCTATGTTATGAAAAAGGGTTAAGTCAAGAGTATTTTGGTTCCTTGTAGGGAGGCGTACGCACTGCTTCCATCCTCCTATGTCTATAGCTTGTAGTAGCTTTTCATGGATTCTTGGTCCTGTACAGGTATCCCAGTTTACTCCAGGTAAGTTGAAATCTCCACGTACTACTTTGTAGTCGAAGTTCAGCGTAGCTACATGCTCCAGTATTTCTCCAACAGTTATACCAGTCATTTCAGCGTTATTGGGGGGTCTGTATATACATCCCACGAGAATTTTACTTCCGTTTGTGTGGATGCTTATCCACTTAGATTCTGGGAGTTTGTCAGTAGTTGGGTTATTGAAAGTATTGGAGTTAGTGGATTTATAGGCATATATTAAGCAACCGCCTCCTCTTTTGTCAACTCTATCGTTCCTATAGATGTCGTAGTTGTCTATTGCTAGCTTTGTGTTAGGTATATCAGTAGTAAGCCAGGTTTCAGTCACCATTATTAGTGTTGGGCGTTCTATGTATGCCAGACAGCGAAGCGTTGTTATTTTATTAAGGAGAGATCTAGCATTCAGGAGCATAATTATTAGTAAACCAGAGTTATAGGAGGAGAGGTTAACATGGTTACTTGTTACTATCCCTACGTTATGTTTGGAGGGGCTCTGAGGTGAGACAGAGTCAGTGTGTGTACTATTTCCTGGGTAAACTGTGCAGCGAGTGGGGCTATTGTTTGCTGCAGCCGAAAATAATCCTGTTGCATATTTTGACTATTAGCATCCATGGGTCGGCATCTGCGTTCATCTACTGGTGATATATGGTCTGCCCTGCAGTTTGCGTTGTAGTCTGCTGGACGTGGGTACGCTGTGTTAAGATTACCTTGGTGGTTGTACCTCATGGGGCTTTCATAGTCGTATGCATATTGGCTCACGTCACGTGTGTGAGTGAAGTTATTGAGGGGATCAAGTGTCGACCTGTTCTCATTATGTTGATGAGGTTTAACATATATAGTGCGACAGTCTGGACGAGAATTTTCATTAATCTGGTGCCTATATGAGTCCTGTTTAGTGCTCCACATATCCTGAGGATCCATTCTACGTTGCATTCCCAAGTTATGTGCGTTGCTAGACATGTTACTTCTAGTTTGGTAAGGGGTATTCCTTCTCACATGCTGCGTGACGTCTTTGAGAATGTTCTTCATTACCCATGCTTTATCATTTTTTAGACTGACATGCTGCCTATTAGACTTATCACGAGGGAGGTGTATCAAAGTCTGGGGTGGGACTCTGGGCTTCGTGGTCCTTTTTGCGGTTTCTACTGAGGGACTGTCAATGTAGTTGAAGATTGAACGATCAATTCTTGGTTGTTTGCTCAAAACCAACTTCCCCAATTTTCGCGGAGGCATCAATATGACAGTCATCGTCTCATCGGTCGCTGTTCAGAAAGAAGTCAGTAAAAAACCGTCAGAAACTGTCAGCCACGTCTCGTAAACCGTTAATGCCCAGCTCTTGCTGCACTCGGGCTCACGCCGTTCCTTGAATTTTCTCAGAAACGCTTAGTAATAACGGACGCAAAAACCAAAACACCAATTGTTGACTCGAGGATTCTTTATTATAACACCAACATATAAACAATGTTACAACTAGGGTTTCTGACAGTTGTCTCCTGACTTCTTTCTGAACAGCGACCGATGAGACGATGACTGTCATATTGATGCCTCCGCGATAATTGGGGAAGCTGGTTTTGAGCAAACAACCATGAATTGATCGTTCAATCTTCAACTACATTGAGAGGGACTCTCTGGCTTGGATCCAGATTGAGTGTGGTTTGGCAGTAGTTTCTGGTCAGCCATAGTTCGTGCGTCAATGTCAACCTTATGTAGGTCAGCAGGTTTTCTAGATGTGCTCTCGTCTACTCTAAGATTGCACCCAGTGGCACTGCTCTTACTGAGCTTTGGGTCACTTTTACTTGCCGTTTCTTCTCCCAACACTATACACGTGACTTGCTGTGCTTCAGTGTCCGTCGACACTTTAGCACTCATACCAGATGTACTTCTCAGTGTTGTCTACTTTGTATCGACGGAGTTCTTGGTTGCCTGTCTTTGGTTTGGTGTTATACCCGAGACTACTTTAATAGTCTTGAATTTAGTGGCAGTAGCCAGAAGATCTTCGGCCATCTTAAATCGTTCAGCTATTGTGTAGCTGTCGAACCTAAAGAGTATAGGTCAAGGATGTTTTAGGTCTTTTCTCTCAGGCGAATGCACTAACAAGGTGCATTCAAGAGATTTGCAGCCTTCAGCAATGAGTGCTGGACTGACTTTATGGGCTTGCTATCCGGTACATTATACACTATTGCGTTTTGTTTTGAAGCCAGCCTTTTAACAACTTCGCTGGATAGAAATTCGAAGGCGTTTTCTAACTCCTTGGCACTTTTTGAGTCAGTATGAGTCATTCTAGAAGTCATATTAAAGAGCTTTAGGATTGTAGGATCCTGCAGTTCCTTTTTCATATGTGAGATAGTTTCGGGTATACATTCTAGTGAACTTAATTTCGTTTTTAATTCATCTACCTGTAGCTGCATCTCTTTAATTACGCATGTCAGGTAAGAGAGCTCTACTTTTTCAGACAGAACATCTTCCACCCGTATTACAGGGGTCAGAGTTATGTTTGAGTCTTTTATGTTTGGTGAGCTACTAATAATATGGGGTGGTAATTTGTTATTAGACGAGCTGGTGCTATTTTCTAAATTAGTGGTGTTCACACGAACACGCCTTTTAGAATTTTGAACCATCGTTATTAAAGATCAATTAATAGTTACCAATAAATGAATATAAACGAAAACACGTGCAAAAGCCTCACCTGATTCGAACGCACCGGGCGATAGTCTTTAATCTTCCTTTGAACAGCGAACGATGAGACGATGACTGCCAGATTGATGACCCGCGAAAAATATGGAGGAGTTGGGTTTGAGCAAACAACCATGAATCTATCGTTCAATCTTCAACTAGAATTTTTTATCCATGGTACATTGTGTTCCTAGGATACCTCAAATCTCCTCACTGGAAGAGAAAGCCGGGCCAAGTCAAAGGACGACAAAAGACTCGTTGACGTCATCGTTTATGGACTTCAGCAAAGCCTTCGATAAAGTACCTCAACAAGGACTACTCAAGTAATTGGAAAATTTTGTATCTAAGGCAGCCTACTAAAGTTGGTTAGGGGGTTCCTCGTAGCTAGGAGGTAGATGATTAGGATCAACTCGCATCTCTCCACTCGGATGGCAGTGCGTAGCGGAGTGCTACAAGGTTCGGTACTCGGGCCTCTACTATTTATTTTATATGTCAATGGCTTATCTGTGCTCACCGATTACCCAATGGTCCCACACGCAGATGACTTGAAAATCTGAAGAGAGCTTAAGGGAAACGCTGATACTTTCACGTTACAAGAGGACCTCAACAAATTGTCAGAGTGGTCCATAGAATGGATGCTCCCCATAAGTGTGGCAAAATGTGCAACCATGCGCATCGGACAAGCAAACACCAGCTCCTGCAAACTTCCATCACTCCAGACTCATTGGGATATAGGTGTCATAGTCATGATTTATAAACTACAGCACACTGTCGTGCGGTGGCTGAATATAGCTTCAGATCCTTATGGGCAACTCGCAGAGCCTTTACTAGAATCACCAGAGATATGTTCGCCTCCTTAGATACATCTCTGATGAGGTCAAGACTAGAAAGCTTTATCCAGGCAGCCAGTTTTTTGTCTTAAAGCGGATTCACATATCCTAGGAAGGTTTCGAAGGAAGGCAACACTTACGAATCCTGGAGTGAGTAATTTATCATGCGAAGAAAGAATAGACTGTTTAAATGTCTTCTCCCTATCATACCAAGGGTAAACAGGAAATCCAGTTACAGTGTTCAAAATTTTAAATAATGACTACGAAACTGGTCTATTTTCTCTATTCTTTTCTACCAGGTAAGAACACCTTATAGGACATAGCAGAATAGTTCAAAAAACAAGGAAAAACCATAAAGCTGTGGAGTAGTGGTTCTCGCACAGAGTAATAAAGTGGAACAGACTCCCAGAAGAAGTGGTGTCTGCAACCCTAACTGATTCATACAAGAAGTGTTTGGAGAAAAGCATAAGGTTGCCATAAAAGGATTAACATAGGCTCCAAGTCTTTTATCCTCAACCAGTAAATCTGAAATCTGAACATAAGCTTCGAAAACCTCGCTAACATCAACTCTGATGGTGTTGTCTTTAACAGATTCTCTGGCAGATTGTGGCATGCTGTAAACATGAACGAGATAGACACTTTTTGTCACGATTTCTACATCTTAAGTTATTACCTGAGCCAACAAGAACAACGGCAACCAATAAATGGACTGAAAACAACTGCTTCTGCCAGCCTGCAAAATTTGGGCTACCGATATCCATGCTGAAAATTCAATACTTGTACCAAAAATACAGTGTGGAATCAAGCTGTAAATCAAAAATCAAAAATCAAACATCTTCATATGCATGATTTCCAAAACTTCTACACATTGCCAATTCATTAACAGCTGAAAACCAACTAAAACACTGAAAGCCGCATAAATACAAGGTATGATACAATTACACCGAAATGAATGCACTGACCTGGTAGTGAAAAGTTTCAAAACCAAAGAAATAATTCATTTTATCAGCAACGGAAACAAAAAATGAGGTGAAACGCAACATTTGTGAACAATACGCAACAAGATAAGCCGTGTATAACGGCAGGATAAACGGAAGAACAAACGCGTACACGAACAGCTACGGAACTGCAATCCAACATGGCCGACTGATATGGACGAAAATGACCTTCGAGCGTCTCACTCCATCAATGACCTTGATAAGTTACGGATAGTTTCAGCCGCTTCAAGCCTTCTTCAATCAACAAGTTCAAATCTGAATACAATGCGTGCAATATTGAAAAGGTGCGTTACAAACAGTAAGTTGTATTATATTCAAAGCAGTACTGCAGAAGTAGGCTTCTTAAACCGACAATATCTGAAGCATTTATGGTTACTGTAAATATCACGTTTTAATGCAATTGCTTGAGTTAATATACAAATTCTGAAACACCACCTATAGCTGGGTATATCTCATTCCTAAGTGGTTAGCATTCAACAGTTATAGTATTGTTTGATATAAATGTAGTAGCATTATATAGATTGTCAAGTCTTTCAAGTTCGTGTATACGATACTTAAAAACAGCTTTTCCATTCCATCCTTGGTTATGAATGTTTGAGATAATATGAGTCCAGACCCTAATCACTGATGAATCCTGAAGCTTTACCTGGTCCAATTGATTATGCACACTGAAAAATTAAATTCTCAGAAAGACAACCTAAAGCCTTAAATTACTGAACACTGCAACACATCAGAGGCAATCACAATCTGCTTAAAACAACCGGAATTTTGAGTACAAAAGAAACATAAAACCAATATTACTACTACCCTGGTTTTATTTGCAACCTTTTGCAAATTTATAACTGAAATAACACTTAGTCTCAAAATATATAGAGTTTACTAATGTAGTAGAATCGTTTTAGGGAACCCTAAACTTTCGCGATCGTCTTGTAAAAAGACAAACTTTCGAGAAACTAAAGTTTACAATTCCAACAAGTATTTTAATTTGCAGTCAGTTCATCCTATAGAAATAAAAGTTTGAGGAGCTTCAAATCTCGTTAACAGAACTAGAAACATAACGGATAGTGATGATATAGAGAACGAGATATGTAATATAAAAGTTATCCGGAAAGGCTACTAGGTAATATAATCACTAAAAAGGTCTGTCTGTCTGTCTGTTTTCGACATAGAACTTTGCACCCATGTGCACCAGTTCAAGTCGCCACACTCTCTCCATGTAGCACACAAAGCAAGAGAAGAAAATAGAAGAAATGCATTATAGAGACAGTAAACAGAGGTGTGGGACAAAGGAATAGTAGTAACAAAGAGCAAAACGGTTTCATTGGAAATCATGAGTCACAAGGAGTGGATGCATCTGCACTAGCCACTGGAAATGATTTTGAACCATCTCACTGGTTGTTTCCAACCATTGGTTTTTACCGTCCCAACGACGCCAACCAGTCAGGAAGTCTGCATCTTCCTACGTGGCAATATCACTATAAAAAAGAGCATAAGGGAAAACAGAAAATTAAAAAATCTTGGCTATCGATGATAGCTATTTCATATCGAAAGGAGACAGCTGAACAACTTCAAAGACTATTTGCTTCATATAATATTAAAGTCTATTTCAAGCCCTCTAATTGTTTGGAGGAAGCTTTAGTGATTGTCAAAGATATAATGTCACAAAACAATTGTGTCCATAGGATAAAGTGTTCAGCATGTGAAGCATGCTATATAGGGGAGTGCAGTAGACAGGTGAAGGTGTGTGAATGTAGACTGCACGAAGCGTCTACCTAGAAATGAAGTAGAATTAAAAAGTCTAGAGAAATGACCAGCTATAGCAATGCATACAATAGACAGCTAACATAAGATTGATTTCGACAATGTCGAAATTGTAGGAAGAGGCTTTCATCATTCACATAAAGAAAGGTTGACCTCTGAAGCCTTGCACATTTTAAGCACATCGAATGTAGTGAATAGGAAAGAAGGGATAGACTTAGCACCTATATGGCAAACTCAAATGAAGCAAGACAGATGAGAAAACAACAAAACCTCTATGAACCGCTTTCACCCCTATAAAAATATGATGTTTGTCACATGTGAATTGACGTCTTTTCCATGTGACAAATAACATATACCCTACACACATACAAATATGCACCATGACAGTTTTAAATTGGTCATTACAAATCTTGGTACAAATATCTATCGACAAGTGACCTCCAAATCAACTGACTTCAATTTATGCAAAACCTTCTTGACTACATATTTTGAGTAATTCTGCTGCTGAAGAAGCTGTGGTGGCTTACATAACGAAACGTTCGGAAAACAGATCTTGTTTTGATATTTTCTTAAAGAAATGATTTGTTATATATTCATCAAGTATTGGTTTTGTAGGGATTTTGTTTAATTGGTTGCAGGATTTCATCATGGACTGATATCAGTTAGAGAACCACTGGAAAACCTACGGGGAGTACTGGACAGCTGTTTCGTCAACCTGGTTTGGTACTCTGCAGCAGTACGCAACCACCGCCAGGGTTTGAACCCAGGGCTGTCTGGTTGCAAGGCGAGCTTGTAGACCACTGAGCAACTGGGACCCAATCCAATGGCCAGCCCATAAATTCTAACTTCTGCTAAGAATTCACTCCATAGCGTGACCATTTCGCAATGTATTCATCAAATCAAGATCATTTCCTAAAAATTAATCTGATATTATGTTTAGTCTTATATCGATACATATTATCACTTCTACATATTTTTTACCTGTAATCTGCAGACATAATAATTCAATGCTATTTAAAACAATGGTGTTAAAAACAACGGTAACTGTTAAATTACTATTGATAAATAACCGTAAAGAACTTGATGAAGAAGTTATCGAAAAGAATACTCTTTATATATGTCCAAGCCAAGTTCACTCTTAACAGTTCGAAAAAATGGGGGGCATTGGATAAATGATACTCATTATAATAAAGGCATTTTTTGTATTTCCCAATGAATGAATGAAAAAGACAAAACGATATTGTTGTGTTTACCGACGTTTCTTTATTTGGAATGCTGCTGCTAATAGCTTTATCAAAGTATTCATATTAAACCAGAATTTACAAAATCTCAGCATATATATGTATAACAAAGAGTTAGAAGGTGAGAAATTATTATTATATCTTTTAATTCCTAGAGGAACATAGGGCTTCATCTGTGCGCCTTTAGTGCGTTCGGTTTTCTGCCAACTTTTTCACCCCGCTCCAAGTCTGCCCACATGTTTTCATCTCCTCTTCACCTCACCTCCTCCAAGTCACCCACACAGTGACGAACAACTCGCCGCTTCCCTTTCGGGTTCCACTCGAGCAATGGCTTGTCTAGTGATGTCACTTGATAGATTGTTTTCTCAGAGTGTGGCCAACCAATCCACCTCCATTTCTTCCTGCCTATTTGTTTTACAATCGGTTCCTGGTTGGTTCGCTCATTGCCAGAGATCCCTGTTGCTGATCTTTTCTGGCCGACCATCTGATCTTGAGTATTGAGCGAAGACAACTGTTAATGAAGGTCTGAAGTTTGTTTGAGATGCTCTTTATGACGCGCAGTGCAAGTCTCTGATCCGTATAGTAGGACTGACTTACTTCACATTGGAGTTGAAAATCCGGATCTTATTTTTTATGCTGAGTGCTGTTGACCTGACCTCCACAAAGACTTGAGAGTAATGAAAGCTTGTCTTGCTTTTCCGATTTGGGCTTTGATATCCTCGTCATTTCCGTTGGCCTGTAGTTGAAACGATGCTTCCCAGTTAGGTAGGTAAAGGAGGTTGTTTCTTTCAGGTTCCTCCCATTTGTGCTGGCTGATTGTTGCCTGTTGTTGTTGGCCAGGAATCTTCATCACTTGTGTTTTCTCTATGTTCACCTGAAGAAAGTCCTATCTTTGATGCTTCTTCTGCCAGCTTGTTGCTTTTCACTTGCATATCTTCCAGTTTGTGGGAAATCAGACGTGGCTATCGTCGATAGCCAAGATTTTTCAATTTCCTGTTTTCCCTTATGTTTCTTTTTAGTGATAATATTACCTAGTAGCCTTTCCAGGATAACAATTTCCAAACAAAATCTGTTTTATATTGGATATCTCGTTCTCCATATCGTCATTATCTGTTATAATGTATCTAGTTCTAATAACGAGGTTTAAAGCTACTGAAACTTTCATGCATATTAAATGATTTGATTGGAAATTTAAATACTTTTTGGAATGCGTCGGTTTTCTACTTATTGTAAACTTATGTTCCTCGAAAGTTTGTCTTTTTACACGACAATCGAGAAAGTTTAGAGTTCCCTCAACCGATTCTATTACATTAATAAACTCTATATATTCTGAGGTTAAGTTAATCTCTGTAGAAAGTTGCAAAAGGTTGCAAATAAAACCAGGGCAGTAGTAATATTAGTTTTATGTTTCTTTTGTAAGAAAATAGTATGGTCGAAGTCGTATTCCGAAAACATGAACCTCAAGTTGTCATTCCATATACAGCAGAGTCGTCAGACGATATCAGAGGAGTATTCAATAAGCTCGACATCAGAGTTTTCTTCAGAACATAGGATACACTGCTAAACAACCTTCTCCATATAAAAGACCAAATCCCTAAAAATTCTCAAATTGTGTCTATAAAATAAAATGCTTGGAATGTGATGCGATCTACGTCGGACAGACATCGCCAGACAGAAATCACAATCAGAAGAAATGAACACCGAAGCATCCCGCCTCTGTTTCAACCACAGGGAAATCCGGTTGAACTAGAAAAGCTTGAAAAATCATCAGATATAGATCTAGACGCTATAAAATCAGGTCACAAAATTGATTTTCACAATATTGAGATCATCATCCAGAAAAATTTCAGAAATCACAAACAACGTCTAATATCATCAGAAGGACTTCATATCATCAAATGGAATCCAAATTGTCTGGATAGGAATGATGGACTAAAACAGAATTTGACCATGTTACAACACCCCCAATTTCTCACATGAAGGGACAAAATCAACACAAATGTGATAAGCAATTTGACTATGTAAACAAACGCTGTTTTTATAATTTTACACATTTATCAAATCCAACATTGATCTACACCTGGTTCTGTTATCTTTACACCAATTGGCCAACTGGACAACGCAAAAATGCCCTCATGCTGATGAACGATGATTAAGTTGTTATATATAAGCTGAGTGAATTTTCTAAATTCTGGTTTAATAATACTATTTTGATAAAGCTATTAGCAGCAGCATTCCAAATAAAGAAACGTC